GTTATACTGTACACATGTTTATAACAACCGGTGGCTCCACAAGGTATATGACCGGTAGGTTTTATACAGTCCACTTGAATTTAGAGTAATTGTAAATAGTTGTGCTAATCTAACTATAGGTTAAGTTCTGATGGATTAAGTTAGTTTAGGTTGGGCTTAATCAGGAAGGTTTGCTTGGTTAAGTTAGATTATGGATGGCTCCATTGGGTTAGGTTGGGTTAAGTTCTTTTAGGATAGGTTAGGATGGGTTAATTTTGGTTAAGTTGGTTTAAGTTGGCTATGTTAGTTAAGGTAGAGCTAGGTTAGGTTAGCTTAGTTTAAGTTGGGTTAGGTTAGCTTACTTTCAGTTGGATTAGGTTGGGTTGCTATATTTGGGATGTTTAGAGAGTTTTAGCCTTAGTAGCTTAGGCTTCTGGTACTAAGCCACTTGTTCTTTTGAAGACACCGGAAGCTTGAGACTCAGCTGTGGGTGTTTTTTTTTCATACAATATATACAGTACTAACTTAACCGTAGTCATTAGTTCAGGTTAAGGAGGGCTATATGAGCGCACTTCACTGTTCAACGGTTAAGCTAGATATGCTGTTGTCGCTCCAGGCTTTAGGCTGGTCGGATAATGAAATGTTTGTGCACTTTTCTTTACAATTATCATATTTGGTTGGGTGGAAGCACACTGCTACTGCCGCCGCCATGACAACGCCCAAGGTTTTACTAAATCGGCCATATCTCCGCTTCTACTCAATATTTTTTCACTCTTTTCAGATACTCATAAGAATATGCTCTAAACATTTATGAATGGTGAAATAATTTGAGCATTTTTTTTAATTTATAAAACTAGAAAATTATTATTTTTTCTTCTAATTGTGTACAGTATTTTGTTTCGAGTAAGAAGCACTTGTGTAAAATACATTGTGCTGCTTACATGTTGCAAATCACTGCTGGGACTGCTGAATAATTTCCTGGTCACTCCCCTAACAAAACAAGGGCAGATCCAGGGGAGGATCTTGAGGTCACGACCCCAATTTTTCCATCAGATTTTTTTTTGCAGTATTGTACTCAGGCGTTTTTGTATAGTAAAAAGTGATCACTATTGACCTCAGAATATCTCCTTATATCAAGTGCGCATGGCTTCAAAATGTCCTGAAATTACTGATATTGATCAGATTAAAAAAATCTGGGGGAGTTACAGCCTCCCCGCAACCACCCCCCGCTACTGTAGATGGACTCGTCGTGTTCGCCATGTTCCTCCATCCACAATTAATTGGACCTCCCTTTTGATCTTCTGGATCCGTCCCTGATAAAGCAAGACATACCCACCAAGTCACCGCTGCCAATTTATCTCTCAAGCACCAAGCTTACAAAGCTTATGTAGAGAACAAGTGAAGAATATCCCCAGTTCTGCTATTGGAGCCTAACATTGAAATTGCAACTGACAATTTGGATTTTCTTGAGGGCACAGAGGTGGTCTCTTTGATTTGTATATAGTCCCTTTCCGAGCTTGCCCCATGGTTTTTTGCACTAGATCCTCCCTCCAGAAAAATCATCCTTCTTTGGCTGCAGATTTTCATAGTGGAAGATTTGTCATTCACAAGACAAAAATGTCTCGTCTGGCATTGCTTTTGATCAAGGGAAGGGGCAGAATATCGGACATCTGAAAGGTATTGGTGGGGTGATTGGCCTGGCAGAGAATCAAACAACATTCAGAAGATGGCAAGTGGCTGCTTCTTAGCTAATCCGTATCCTTCAGGAGTTTGAAGGCATTCTTCAAAGAGACGCAAACAAGGACAACCTCCATCACCATGAACAAGCTCACTGTGCAGGAATTATTTTACACTTCTCTTTTGACAGCAATAAAGGAAATGGGTAACACATGTTTCAAGAGGACAGTCCTGATCTGTTAGTATTAGATACAAGAGATATTGTAAACAGTCCAGCAGTTCAGTCTAAAAACTGTTGAAGAGGTGGGACAAAGAGGATACTCAGAGTTTGTCAGGATCGGCTCATTAGCAGATCAAAACCAGTCTGAGACTATCCCCACAAAACAACCTTGCTCTGTTCAGTCGGCATAGACCCAAATCCCCCCAAAAAAGTTCACAACTACAGGTGACTGAACTCCAGGAAGACTGAGACCGACCTCTTGGCACATCTTTGTGTCCTGTCAATCAAGAGCTATCAACCTTGAGGACTTCTTTATTCATGAGAATCATGTCTACCCACCATCAATCTCAGATCATGGTAACCTTAGGGTTTGCAACAAGTCTGATTTACTCGTGTCTTGAGTCACACAAACCCAGTGACACGCACAATCATCTGATACAAGTATTCTGGATGGAGCAACATTAGTTCATTTTCTTGTGCCTAGTGGAGCAAAAACATATAATGATTATGCCAAAGATGTTTTTGTTCCATGCATAAAAAAAACGCAAGAGAAAGTTCAGTGTTGATTTAGTGACAGCTTGAAGTCAGCCACTCGTCAGTAAAGAGGAAGTGGTGTGAAACAAAATGTGACATATACCACACAGATGCCACAGAATTGGAGTCAGTTTTTGCAAGATAAGAACAAAAAGAAAGAGCTATTTGACTTTCTTGTTAAACAAGTTATGATTGTGTGTGAAGGCTGAAACAGAGCTGTATGTGACAAATGATGAAAATATTCTGAGCTCTGAAGATGCAGACCTTAGCAACCTGTCTCCCTGCAGACTCAAGAATGATTGTGCATGCAGCTGATGCCACCAACATAGGCAGCAGGAAGATAATTAGAACTCGATACCGATGTGGTCATTCTAGCAATTGCATTTTTTGAAAGGCTGAGTATTGATATGCTATGGAATGCATTTGGGACAGCAAAGACCTTCCACTACATACCCATACATGAAATTGGTACTAATGAAAGTCAAAAAGCTCAATCCCTTCTCGGATTTCATGTCTTCACAGGTTGACAGTGTCAGGTTTCTGTGGAAAGGGCAAGAAATCAGCCTGGGATGTATGGAAGGTCTTTCCTGAAGTAATATCTGCATTTCTAGCAATATCACCACTCGGCAATAGCATATAAGCCGTTGTTCATGCTTTGATCCAGAGGTTTGTCATTATTCTGTATGCATGGGGACAGGCTTTGGTGGCAGATATTGACACCCCTTCACCATAAAAATGGGGATGGGTGAAAGAGGATGCTGTGTGGACACTTCTGTACAAGGCTACCAGGGGCTTCTAATGGTTGTAGGGAGCTTGTCAAATGTAGGTGTTGGAGGGGATGTACAACTCGTGGCTGTTTAGGGGTGCAGATGCCTTGTACACTTCAATGCAGAACATGGAAATTACAGGCTTGCATCTGTGCCATTAGTCATATAGACTACCTTGGTTTTCATGTATGGGTTTTTACTATTTAGGATTGTATTATGAAGTAGGAGTAGTAATCAGTGGAAATAATCAAGCTATTTTATACTGATTGAATACTAGTAGTAACAATATTCTGCCACCTGGAGCATAACCAGTGATTTCATATATGGGTATTTTGATTCACAATAATATTGTGCAAGAATTTAAGACAAAAATAAAATCAATGGAAACTTGTTACTCACAGAATAATTTAATTTGCACACATTGTCAGTTTTTTTAATACCTGTATTGACGAAAAAATAATGATCAAATCACTTCATAATTATTAAATGTATTTTCGAGTATCTTCTGAGGAGTATCTGAAAACGGTGAAAAATTTAGAAGCAGAGATATGGTCGATTTAAAAACCTTGTAAAGAAAAGTGCACAAACTTGCCCCTCTGGAGCATTATGCTACTAGACAACTATAGTACAGTACTAGTCTGGTAATATGTGACAATGCAGAATCCTCATTTATGGAATTCAAGGGAGATGACTTATTGGCCTTAAGAATTACTAAGCATAATATAATGGCATGTACAAATAAGGTGTAAGGGTGTTTATTATATGGTACATTCAACATGACACTAACAAGGTTTGGTTTCATTAGGTTAGGTTACATTAGGTTAGGTTACATTAGGTTTTGGTTTGGTTAGGTTTTGGTTTGGTTGCTGTTAAGAAAAATAAATCACTTTCTAACACTTAGTATTTATCAAACACAAAATTAAATATACATTAAAACTACATTTAGTAAGCATGGTCAAACGGTTAAGGCAAGTAGGATGGATAGTTTTTTGAAATGTGTACATCGCTAAGCCACCATGTAATTTTCTTTATTTCTTCTTGGTTCTTAATTCTTTCTCCTTCTTTATTTCATGCTCTGTTTCTCGTGAGATGGTGGAAAGAGACTAGAGGGAGAGGGAGGTAAAGAGGCCAAGGAATGTGAAGGTAACGGCTGGTTTGTGGTTAGGCCGCCCTCACACCAAAGGGGGGAGAGGGGAAGTAGATGAGGATAACTGGGGAATGGGGGTAACTGGGATAACAGACACGAGGGGAAACGGGTGATAAGTTATCACTTAGGACTCAATGTATCACTGCTAAACACCAAAGACACTGAGGACATACTCTACTCCATACACAAGGGACTTAAGAACTAATCATAATGGTTCTTCGTTTATTAACGAACTTACTCAGAATGACCAGTTTCACTTTAAAAACAATAAACCTATCCTCTGTCAGCTAAACAGGGGTCACACGAGTCATAATAATTTCTTGAAACGGATAAAACCTGAAGATGACACACACAAGACCACACTTTACTCCCCAAACTAGACTGTCTTTTTCAGTCACCTACAAGGGGGCCACATACTCATGACCTCACATCTCATTGGTTCAGGCTTAAGGCATTCACACTCATAATTTACTGCGATTGGCTCCTGCTTGGCGGGAAACACACTCATGACATTGTTATATCAGTTAGAGTTAGACTAAGTTATGGAAAGTCGAGTTCAATTTGGCCAGGTGGGTTAGGTTGGGTTGTATTGGGTTCAGATATTTTGAGGCCTGTTAGAGCTTCATCCGTTTTCCACCTTGAGCACCACTTAAACCGACCCTTACTTCTCCTGCAGGTGTTCGTGTACCGTTCCTGCGTGTGGGGTGGAATCGGCAGTTTATCATGATGAGAGAGTTTGGGTTCATCTACGACTCCTCTATGGCTGCGCCTTTCTCTAACCCGCCCCTCTGGCCCTATACCATGGATTACAAGATGCCTCACAAGTGTATGGGCACCAGGCAGAAGTGTCCTTCCAGGTCCTTCCCGGGCATATGGGAGATCGTTCTCAACCAGCTGCAGGCAGGGGTAAGTTCAGGGGTAGATAGAAAGGTTGGGGTAAGCCCCCCAAAAGGTGTTAATAGCCAAAGTCCCTCGAGTTTGAATGTAAACACGTTTCTCTCGCCTCTTCCGTCCAGGCATGCTAGAATAATTGTTTACTCTTGTACCCAAGGAGTACTACTGCGCCATGATGGACCAGTGCCCACCGTCGTACGACGAAGAGGAAGTGTACCAGATGCTGATGCACAACTTCCGGCGCCACTACAACACCAACAGGGCGCCACTAGGCCTCTACTTCCACACCATTTGGTTCAAAACCAAGCACAACATGAAGGGCATGAAGGTAGGAGCCAGGGAATTTTACAAATAAACCTTGAATTTTGTGTGAATTCAGTTCAACTTCAAAATATTATTTTGGCAGCAATCTTACAATAAATTAATGTACTACTGTATATAATAGGTAATTAATTAAACTTTAGGAACAAACTCCAGTAAATAGTCTACTCCAATAAATGAATTGTGTACCTATTTCATGTTAAGCAACCAAATAACCAAATTTTGCAGGTTATGCCTATTAATTCTATAATGAGTATTGTCGGAGATGAATTGTTCTTATAATTGACTTTATTCAAATGGATTATTCCACATATTTATCATAAGTCATATAGGTGGATCAGGGGTGTGATTTTTTGGTTTTTGCCAGATTTCCTGCTTTTTTTGGAACATCCAGGTCGACCCAAGTGAATAGCGCAAATCAGGGAAAAAGATATGGAGGGGGGTGTCAAGGTTCTTTGCCGATGTTCATCTTTGAATTTTTAGTAGCGTTTTCATATTACTGAAAACCTCTAATTTTGTTATTCTATTGTAATAAATTCCGAATTAATATACATACAGTAAAAAAAAAGTTTCATCCGGGGGTTGCTGACTTCCGTAATGAGCCATACATCACCTGATGTGCCTCGAGAGTTGGTATGTGTGCCTATATATACGGCAGGTTATGTCGTGACACCCTCAGGCAAGGAAAACAGGGCTACCGCATATTCCACTATATCCCTCGTCCCTGATTTCATATTGTTTCCCACATAATCTGTGCGGTGTTTTTTTTTACTGTGTACCTGGAATTTTTCACATTTACATCAGGAAAAGCAAAGGAATTTTGTTTTGTCTGGCCAGTAGACATCCTGTAGAGATGCATATAGCACGTTTTTTCCTCATCAATACAACACTAGTGTAATGGGTCGAGTTTCTTTCTCTATATTCCAGCTAAGCTGCCACTATTTGTAACGGGACGTTTTTCTTTACTTCACATTTTACCATCCAGATATTCTTCAGTTCTTCATTTATATATATACCTTATGTATTCTTTCTTATATTCTTTAGTATTCTTTTCTTAGTTATGTATATTTTTTATATTAAACTTTCATGGTATATTTATTTAATAATTTCTATGCTGTGTCTTTAGTTCCGCAACGTACATAAATGTCTTATCTTTCTTTTCTTATATTTTCCAAGTCTTTCATTTCTTTTCATATACTGTATATTACATTTTCTGAATTTGTCTTTACCTTTCTGAAGTATTTACTGTTTTACTTATATTCTCATACATGCGTTGGTCTGGGGAACCATAATATTCTTAGTACAACACTTATTATACTTACAAGGGTAAGCTGCCACCACCCAGAATTTTGGTAGAATATAACATCACTCATGGACAACTTTTGGGTAGGGGTGTATGGGCACGTGAGTAAGTATTATTTTCTGGGAACCAATGTTTAAAAGGAGTAGAGGTGATACTCGTAGATCACTAATTCAATATTTATTAACACAGTGAGTGAATAAGATGTTACTTAAATTCACTCAGACAAGACTGGACCCTCAGGTTTTACTGCACCATTGACAAAACAGATCTCAATTACTTATTAATTCATGAAACACTTCCAGTACTCATTACATCATTAAACAGCTCCAAGTACTTATTACTTCATTAGACAATTGTTGTATTAATCCTCTGACAAATAAGATTCGGCAATTATTATACACGGTCAGATAACACTGTATCCTCATGTCTTACTTTTATATGATACAAATTACATCTTCAATTCTTGGTTACAACATTTAGCAATCATTATATTATTTCATTGTCAATACAGATGATTATATGACACTTGACAATATCCCAAATCAACTTATAACATCACGTTCTATCGGCATGAACAACATAGTACATTTCCTTCAGTTCATGTACTCAACTCGCATAACATATTTCCTGGTACTATTAATAGTTATGGGTTCACTACTTAACCAGGGATTTCTGTTTGTAATCCCTCCATCAAGATACAATAATACTTAGGCCCATGTAACTGTGAGGAGTGCCCCAGGGTATAATGGTGGCTCCATAACAAATGAAGATCGCTGTTAGGGGTCGGTTGTAGACCACACACGCGAAAGGAGCTGGGGTCTGATTTGCAGGAAACGGACTTCAGTTTAATCCTGTCGAATTAACGACATCGTCCAATACGGCTACCGATCTATGGTAGCCGATGGGTATTCAGCTCCCACACTGGCCTGGAGATACGTTGAGGAAGTCACGAATGCGTATATGTCTAACTTCAAATATACAAAACATGCGTCTGGTAAAGGTACAGACGACACTTACTTTATATTAATCCTTTCACTGGGTAAATGACAATTTCACTGTTACAACATGAACACTGATATTCACAAAATTGACTAAGTTAAACTGAATTAATACGGCGGCAGGGAACATACCTTGAGATACGTTGAGGAAGAGTCACGAATGCGTGATTCTCCCTCGTGTAGCGGTATATACTATATACATGCGCTCACAGGGCAACTGGCACACGCATTCTTACCAGAAAGGTTGATCTCGCCAACAACAGACCTTCTCTACCATTTTGGATCGCTGTATACTTAGTTATGAACTTCGGTGTTCCTGATCAAGGTAATTTCCTATGTCTATTCATATAATCTAATCAGAGGTTGAGCTTGCCAGGAAAAAGTGGAATATACACATTGATAACATCAATTCTGCGAGCTCAGGGCTGCTGCGAACAAGGAACTATTCACTGGGAGACGTTAGATCTGGGAGATTATACAGGTTGACAGAATAATTCAGGAGATTAATGACTTTCTTAAATAGACAACTGACACTCTAAACTACAACCATCAGATTCTCTGATGTTTGGGCAACAAAATAATCTGACTTCAGTAGCATTTGGAAACTCATGGTCATTCTTAGGGAACGATACCGTGGGTATCGTTTGTACTGGCAGACTCAACACTCGCTTGCCTACCCAATGTTAATAACAATAAAAACATTTAAAGCTTTCAACATCACTCACAAAGGATTTTGTATGCTTTAACTGTAATCAAACATATCTAAGTTGACTCAAAACAAGGGTGTTCTCTCTCGCATTCAAATTCATTTTATAGAGAGGTTGGTTTCAGTAAGTTAGAGAAAATGGGATAACGGAGGACTGAGGCGTCTTGAAGCGATGCGAAAACGGACTCCTCAGATGGGGGACTCAAACGAAGGCAGAGTTACATGTTTTGTGGGCTATTGAGCGTAATATGAATCGTCTGATTTTGGCGTTAACTGACGTGTATAACCGTGGTCATAAACTAGCAGGTCGATCTAACGACCTGGTGTTGGCAATCTTATGGTTATTTGGTGATGTTAGAGGTTTAACAATAGGTTCTAACATGTTTGTTATTAGAAGTTTAACAATAGGGTCTGTTTGGTGTTAAGAGTTTTAACTATAAAATCTAACTGTGTTTGTGTGGTTGGTGATGCTATAACTACCCCCGTTTTTGTTTGTGTTATTAGCGATTCCTGGACGAGCTGAGTAAGATGCCTGACGTGTGGGTCGTCAACAACCAGGAGATGATCAAGTGGATGAGGGAGCCCACACCTAACTCCCAGATGGCCAGCTTCGAGCCCTGGAAGTGTCAACAAGCGGTGAGAGAGGGAGAGAAGAGGAGGGGAGGGTTAATATTCGTTTTTATCCCAATAAGCCTTTCAGATTTTTTACCATTATCACTAGGATTCTTTTTAGTTAGTAATCTATTTTTTCAATGGCAATAGTAGGTTAGGTCAGGGCGCGGTTAATATTAGTTTTTATCCCAATAGGAAGGAATGGAGGGTGGGAGGGAAAGGAAGAGGGAGTGAGCGACTGCTGCTGCTTATTGCCCTTTCTATAAATCCTTCAGCGTTCTCTCCTGAATCTTCTATATTTCACACTTTTAAATTCCACTCATTTCTCTCCTTTAAATCCTGCATTTGTCTTTTAAATCACGCCCTTGTTGTCCCCAGGTGCCGGCGGAGGACAAGGCCTGCAGCATCACTAAATCGTGCAAACTGAGGAACAGACTGCTAAGGGGTGACCGCTACCTCCACACCTGTTTCGAGTGTCCTGACATCTACCCCTGGCTCAAGAACGAGTTTGGTATCTATCTGTAAACATTGTCTAGATTGTATTTTTGTCCAGAGATCTTTGTTTAAAAGTTTCAGTCGAGCTTCACCTTACCCGACAGTAAATGATTCAGGTTAGAATTCAGATTTTTACAAATCTTGACAAATCCTGATTTCTCACTGCTGCAGGAGGTAATGTAGGGACGTGTACCAGTATTACCCACCTCAGATGTGACTGTTTCATCAAATATTTTAAGACCACTCAACATCATCACGTCGGGATTAACACTCGGTTGCATGCAGCTCTCTAGGATTTCTTTTGATTGCTTTAATGGTGTTTGGAAACGTTTTCTATGGAGTATGGTTCTCAGCCTCCCTGTAACATATTTCCGAGTACAGTATACCAAATATGTGGGTCAGGTAGGGCCCTTACCTGACCCGAGCTCTGGTGGGGAAAGGAACCATCTTCAAAAGTAATGTGAGCTTATGACAAACTATTTTGATATCATTGATCTTCAGTTATGAAGGCATTAAATAGAATGATTGTCTTGAGAATGAAGTCATTCATAAAACTCATAATAATAAATTCCGATTATGATATATTCAAGGCGTTTTTTCATCAATAATTGCGATGTTAGTTATAGTATCATCCGTAATACTAGCCAGTAATGATAAAAACTGTGATAATTTATTTTTTTGTGTTGTAAACTCGCATCACTGAATGTCGTTTGTTGATCATACAACAGTCCCGCCATATAGTCACTTAAATTTTATGGATGGTTAAACAATTTAAAAAAAACGGTGGAATTCATTTCCACTCGTGTGAAGTGTTTAGTGATGATGTGCATTCACTTATCCATAATCTGGTACCCCGTTGATAACTGCACAGGCAGCATATATTATAACTAGTACCCCGTTAACTGATGTACAGGCAACTGGTATAAACTGATACCCCATTCATACTACACAGTCAACCGCCATAAACTAGTACCCAGTTGACTACCTTTAAACAATTATATAACTTGGTGTCCGAGAGCCTGATGTCACTCCTGTCTGGTACTGTACACAATTGCTCCTGCATCAACCTCAAACTATAATTTTTTCTATTAGATTAATTGCGTTGAAACACTTTAGTTCCGAAGCTTGTATCCATGGTTTCATCTCCCAATAAATTTTGTGTAGACTGTACTGTACATATATACCAAGGATGAGTTATTTCGCCTGGTCATATTTTAATATTCCCTAGGTGATAAATATTCTGTTCAAAATCTGGTATCTACAGTAGGATACCAATGTACTGTACTATACTATTCCTGTAGCTTTTAGCGACAACGGGGTTCCAGTGATGGTTCATATTTCCCTCTAGTTTTGTTTTGTTACTGAAGTTTATTTATACATGTAAATATAATTTTTTTTTCTATATTAAAGGACTAAAACCTAGGCACAACCTTTTATTCTGCCTCGTTTTGTGGTGGTGAGGATGTCACAAAAAGGGGGGGGGGGATTTTACCCCAAAATTTAATTTTCCTTTTTATTTTTCAATTTGTTGTATTTATTTTTAACAAATTTTCAAATTAAAAAAAATATTTATCTAACACCCCCCCCCCACCAATAGTTCAGTTCCAACTATTGTCAAGAGCAATTCCTTGCTGTAGACTTGTCTCGGTATTATACCCAAGGTGTCTGGTCCTGGTTTGGTTATAAATTGTGCTTCCAATTCTAATTATTCTTTTGTAAGAAATTCTATAAAATATATAAAAGTGAAAAGTAAAAGGCAATAGTGGATTTATTTTCTTTATTTTTAAAGTAAAGTATAAATAAAATACATATCTGTGGCTACTAAGAGCCCCAGATAATGTGAAGATATGCATCTTGACTTGTTGGAGTATTCCTCAACCATGCTTAGTAAAAGTAAGTTTCTCTGGATTATAGGTACTGTATATGCCTGAATTAGTTACTGAAATGTTTCCAAGACATTTCTGTAAATAAGAGATCTACTGACAAAGTTAGATACTTTACTTAAAAAAAGTAGCAAATTCACAAGCGTCACAATCTTCAGCAATTTTTGGTACCTTCAATTAAAATAATTGAACACCTGGCATGTCTTAAAATGACGTTGAAACCAATTACAATACTGTACAGTACAGTATTACTTTTCCATGTAAACCAAAGAAGCTCTTTTAGAAATAAACCATTAAAGAAGCTGATATATGACACTTGGGAAGTTAAATCTTCACGATGAACACAGGTTTACAAAATACACATTGGTATTAAGTTTATAAACAAATACTGTACCCTAACCCCTTCCTTAATGCATGTTGTAATAGTGCCATTTAACATGTATGCTACTATCACCATCATACACATATGACAGCTCAGCCCTGAGGTAAGGCAGAGGTTAAGCTCCTTTTATTCAGACATGTTATTGAATTAGAACTTGATTAGAAAGCTGGTCATAAATGAGTACACCTGGCAATGTAAACTTTCACATCACACCTAAATAACCTGACTCTCACCAAGCACACTTCAAGAATACACCTGTGTTTTGCAAAGAAAGTTCTTTACGACATTTGAAGAGACAGAAGATAACTTAGCTGTCTAACAGTTAATGGTGAAATGGTTTATGAATTAGATGAGCTCAGTTATTAGTATAGTCTGATTGACGACATCCACAAAAATTTTCTTGAAAATTCATTTGAACAAGTGTTAAACAGATTAACACTGGTGGTGTTACATATCTTTGAGAACACAATACAGTAATTTTACAACTGACACGATCACAGATAACGACTGATGTAAGGCCACATTGTAAGCAAAGTGATTGCTCATTAAGGGCTTAACCTAAGAGAAGATTTGTTGTTCAAACCATTACTGGAACTCATCCACCTGAAGAAATTATCTACGTGGTATAATGCTGATGTCTGTTACAATTCAAGGTTTAGTACAAAACATCAAAATTCATTGTGGCACCATTTTGTACACATTAGTTGCATTTTAAAATATACATTCAACTTTTATGCAATACTGGATCACCAAAAATCTTAATTTAAAAAGTAAGGACCATATTGAGGAGAAATATTTTTAGTTATGTGACCAATCTATCTCAGAATAATATCCTGATACTTATATTTGCACTTATGATGAGCTTTATGCATAATTATGTCACTTCTAAGATTTAAAAAATACATCTGAGCTATTATACATCCCAAATGACCCCCCTGAGTTCTCAACTAAGGCACATATTTTTTCCTTGTGACAGTCGTACATCCCAACACTAGCTATGTCACATGGACACGAATCACAAAGCTCCTGTCACAATTAATTTTTATGAAAAATTCATCTACTAGTAATATTTGTTTTTACTTATTTTAAACATATCAGTTACAGGAGCTAATAGAAGAACAAGGCCAAGTTGAAATGAATAGTAATAAAAAAAAATCTGTACGAGGAAATTTCACTGTGCAAATAAGGTTCAAATCGTGCAATAAATCAACAAAACACATCAATCTAATGCACAATGTTCTCTTTTTAATTTAGATTTTATAATTTTTTTAAAGAAACCAAAGTAAAAGGCCTGATATCACAACATAAATGCATTTAAAACCAAACTTTGAAAAAAGGGAAGATATTTCTATTCTTGATGGGATGAAAAATGGCTAAATTAAAAAGTTGGAATGGATGAACAAGGTGTGAATGGCAGGTAATGCAAGAAAAGGAAGAGAGGGATCATAGGTGAAAGAATGGGAAAGCACATGGTGTCTGACAAAGAGGGTTGGTATGTCAGAAAGGGGGAAGATTTTGGAGAGGAGGGCAACTCTGACAGGAGGAGGTATGACAGAGAGAGGGATAGTATATGACAGAGAGGGGAGGTGGTATCCGAAAGAGCCGGGGGGTGGGGGGGGATCTGACAGAGGGGTGTGGTATCTGACAGAGGGGGTGTGGTTTATATCAGAGAAGGCTATCATTATAGTGTGTGAATTTGTGTAAAGATAAAATGACAGATATTATACAGTTTACCATTAACCTGAATGGACAATAAAATATGGCTTATTTGATGGAGGTGAACAGAATGTTGTTGAATGGGATGGCTGATCAAATACAACCAAAAAAGAAGGTTTGAACAGATCTGATATGGTAAGTATTTAGACTCACTAGTAAAATAGATGCACCATCAACCTGGTCAAATCTGTGAAATGTTATATTTATTTAACAGCCTAAGAGGTTTTTGAGAGGAATAGCTGATCTCTATTGAAATTGATTCTTCCTTACAAACCCTTCTTTCTGTGTCACTAAATAAAATAAATGTACTGTAGTACCAAATAATTTTCAAAGGAAACTTTCTGTAACATTTTAATCTTAGGATAATGATAATTTTGGTTTTGTTGTACTGTGCAGCGAGTGACATTGCATTTCAATACAGGGTATTCTTTTGGTCATTAAAAATCCCATCTATCAATATTTTAAGTCAACAGTACTACAGTATTCATATGCCATAGATTGAACAAGTATTGCAACATTTTTGTCCTGCACAGTACCATCAATGTTGCTATAGGAAGACTCACCCTGCAAAGTGGCCAACACTAAAAGTATCACAAACAGGACCAAGAAGTCATTTAATTTTCAGGTACAGCAAAATGACTATAAAATCCTTCAGCTAGGCTTGGAATTTCTAGTAAAAAAAATATTTGTCCTGATTGTGATATTTTTCTGAAGATGATAATATATTCTCCATACACAGCATTACAAATCTAAAGGTCAGTTTTAAGTTACAGTGAAGATGGTGATATATCAAGGCCTCCTGATAACTTAACCTGTAGCTAAAAGGAAGATTAATAAGTTCTGAGGTTCACAAAGTAAATGCCTGTGGACAGCAGAAATTAAAATGAAATTTGGCAACTTTTCCTGATTAATAACATGAAAATATACATACAACAAAATTCAAGATGCTACAGTACCATCATTTAAGGAGCTGGAAAGACCATACTCTCAAGAGCTTGGGAATAAATGTATGGGAATAAATTTTTACTTACGTTATGGAAAGTTTTTTCTTATTCAATAAAAAATACAGTACCTGTATACAAATTATTAAACGTTTCTTTAATAAAAACACTTTAGTCAGCAGTCTATTCCACAATTTGCTACTGACCATCAAGAAGATTCAGACACACAATTAGAAAAAAATGCATCTAAACAGTAATCCAATAAGTGAAAATGCTATGAGCACTTCAATTTAACCGTGGTAAAAATTGAAAGTGAATCTCGTAGACCTTGTGGGCACACCGAATACTAAGACTCAATACACAAGGAAGCATCATAACTGCCATTGTACTCAATTGCCTTCACTTCCCCAACTTAAGTCAGATACCCATCCACAGCTGTGTTGCAGGAGGTGTCCCATGTGTAAAGTGGTGAGCACATCCATTCAGCTGCCACACCCCTAAAATTAACTGTAGCAATCGTTTATATCATGACAATGATTCATGTATACTGTAGTTATAATAATCTATTGCTTCAATTGTTTCACAGAGAAGGAAAAAAAATGGAGTGAGATCGTGGGGTTTGACATCAGTTAGGTGACAATATGTATTTCACTAGTGCGCTGAAATGTTGTTTTGGGAAATTTCCGTATGTGCCTATGGCTACCCCTCAACTTCCTGAGTAAACATGGCATCAAAGATAAGAAAGAGAGAGTTTAAGAGTCATTAATCAAGACAATGATAATCCTACTTCAAAGATACTGAGATGCATAGTAAAAATGCCTTCTTTCATTAGTAACTTTGTACAACTTAGAACATAGTACCACCAGGCTAATGACAAATTTTGAATATATTTACAAATGTATTAGTATTAAAAGTATATTTTTTTCTAGATTTGTTAAACTTTGATGGGGTGATAAGGTATGTGTAAAGCTGGTACACAAGTTTTCCTTCACAAAAATAGGTTAATGACTCCACTACTTGTACAGCATTACCAATTGATTAATGCTCGCACTATATTATTTGTCAGTCTAGGAAGCAAAACACACACAAGAAAAGTAGAGGAGTGGAACTTCTTGTCTGACAGTCCCTGTCACACACCCTCTCCAGTGCCAGCACGCTGTCACAATAAGACAATTCAGATATGCTTAGCATAATGTTTGTGCTTCATACCTAACATTAGGAACATGCTAGGACTATGGCAGTGAAGAAGGGTCTATTCAGAATATGTAAAAATGCATATACCGTATATATAGTACAATATTTCCATATCACAAATATCAAATACAGTGCAGAACCATTGAATTTTCTGACCTGAATATGAAGCTCTGTGCAAGTCTGATTTTCAAACAATCACTTTCAGGAAGTTAGATTGATGTATGCAGATCCTCAGTGTAGAGTTAAATTAGTCTGAATAATATACTGAGAAAATAACCATCAGCGATGACTAAACACCAACTAAAGAATGACTACTGTGAGTGCATGTAATATAAGCTGGAGTATACTAGGTGCTACTAGTGAAGCTCAGAGTATTTTGTGGGAGGATAGGAGCTGTCTCCGCCTGGCCAGAGTCTCCACCAAAATGTTAACAACAGTCTGTCTTTCTTGTTTGCTTTCTTTATACTGATCAGATACTCAACACCATTCACCATATATATGAACGTCATAAATAGAAAATCTTATTTACTCTTAACTGCAATAAATAATACAGTAGAAAGTCAACTTCCTGCACCAATTATGGAAAGATACCAGCTCTGGAAGCTGACATTTTACTGCAGTTTCTAAACCAAATGCAACTCGCAGACTTAGTTTGTAATGACTGAGGGAAAAAGGGAGACTATTCAGAAAGCAAAATAGTCAGGTTTAGAAAAGTACAAAAGAATTTTGAAGCTACTGTATATTTATTTTTAGGCAACAAAAACCAGCCAGAACTAACCTGACCAAAAATACACTAAATTTATTAAGTTAGTTGAGTGCAGGTTTGTTGTCGAGTCCCAAAAGAAAAAACAAAAATTGTGGTACTTTTCCAACACTGGCCCTTTTGCGTTCAGAAATGACCCAGACGTAGGTAAACAAAATCCGACTCAACATGAACCAAGTATTTATGTAGTTGATGCTGTTCAATATTTCATTTATGCATTAACCTTTCAGTGAACACAACATTTTTAAAGTTCAATAAGGAATTTAACAATAAACTACTCCAAATAAGAATTCACTTCAATTTTTAAAAGAACTTGAAAAATTGGATAGCAGTAATTTAAGGTGAATTCCTTGTGTAGGCACCACAAGTGTGCTGTTACCACATGGAAATCAACGTACAGCACCTGTGCTAATGTTTCTGAATAAATGTTTTGAATTTAAGTAAGGTGATGCAAGCTAACACTCTCAATCAATGCTTCCTGAATAAAGTATATAAAGAGATAGATTGTTCTCATAGATTGTGCAGCATTACACAGCAGGAATGTTACCCACATCTATCAACTGGCTGACTCACATATACCTGTACCTGCGGCTTCATCACATGTTTAGGAGATTTAAGACCTGGAAACAAAGTTTGGGTTGTGCCATGAATGTCAACCATAGACATACAAAACTACAAGCTATGTAATACAAACAGCAAACAAGATCCACAGGATGCGTTAATAAAACTTAATTTCTGTTGCTTTGAACAGACTTTTCAATTCATTGTAATCAAACCCCAAGCACATGCTTGAACTTCAATATTAACAGAAGAGATATGTTTATAAAACAGCTCAACTAATGGTGGCCACCAGTTCCCACTAATGCATCTTCTGTAAGTGGACAATTATATCTGATGAATCTCTATAACAAATTAAAAAGCCAAGAGATCTCTCAAATTTTAAAACTTACACTGCAATACAAATTTTTGTCCTGCTCATTTTATCATGTTTTATGCTTTAGCAGAGGAACATCCTAGATCATGACCACAAACCATTTTATACGGGACACTTGCATCAACACTTTGCACTGGGTATGATGCCTCTAATAATGAATGCATATTATTCAACATAAATTATCAAATGATTGCATTGTATAAAATAAAATAATTCTACTTCCTTGACAAAATCAGCAATAGTGAATCTCTTCAGAAAAAGAAACCCACAGTATCAGTAACCATCGTATGTTATGGTAGTAGAAGACTTGGAATTTCCCGCCCTCTGTCAGGTCATCATGATGACCTTTGCAAAGTATATCCACTTCACAGTTACTGTCCTGTGTCTATTCTCTATTGTGGCTGTCTTGCCCTTTTTATGAATTTCCAAGCCTGTAGTTAATTATTAAGAAAAAAATAATGTTTCTCTTAAAAATTAAAAAGCAACATTGACACTGCAGATGGTATGATGTTACTGATTGAGCCAAGTACATTCTGTTTGCATTATTGGGAGAATATTTCCAGAAATAAATAATTTACACACTATCACTTCACTATAAGAAAGTAAAGACTAACATACTACCCATATATGGAGTGCAGACTTCAGAGGAAGCCCTTTATGCATGACAATACATTTCACTTCCGTCATGGCATGAGAATTTGGGTTCTATTGAGTGGTCGGTGCAGTTAATACACACACATCACCTAAGTACCAATAAATAAAAGAAATTCTTCTCAATGGTTAAACCAAATGACCATTAATATTGATAATAAGCTCCCTGTGTCATAAATATTTGTTAGTTCAGAACAGGCACCAAGTCATTCAGTTGAACCATGATCATTTACACAATAACCGAAAGCAAGAGTCAGTAAATTTTCTCTCTGCTCTCACTAACCCAGTCATGATATCTAAGCCCAACACTAATTCTGTAGTTCCACTTAGAGAGTCCGATTAATTTCCAAGTAACATTCAACAAGCACACAGTAGTCAACAAATGCCACAACAAATAACTTCAGCACCATTCAGCGACTTGGTACATGAGAGATGGTTCCTTTTACTTGGGAATGTCAGAGGGAATGTTTTCAAGGTAAGTGTCATTCACAAAGTTACTTACACATTCTTTCCTAAGTTAAATGCGATTCATCTGAAAACTCTTACACTTTTATGCTCTTTTGTAAGTTAAATGCAATTTATTAAAAACTCTTGCACTTGTTGGGCACATCCATGACAAGCAGAACTACATAAGGAACTTTCTAGTAAGCATAATATGGAGCACAACTCCTACGGCAGGGCAGCACAGTAGTTTACGACATCCTTGAGATACCCCCAAGCAAGGCACTAAAGGTGGGATACTATAACTTTTGCTGACAGTGCAGGTATCAATTTGTACACAAGTTTTTAATAGTGCAGCTAAACTTTAAGTTTCACAGTTTCTGTTGCTGCACATAATGAGATTTCAATAACCAATTCACACTTTTGGGGTTACATGAGTTCACTCTCCACTCCCATTATAAATTTACAGCCATTGCAAGTTTAAACAATTGTCAATTGAACATTCACAGCTTCACTCCCTTCCTTCAAGAACAACTACTCCTTGTAGCATCAGATAATTACAGTCAACCCTCACCTATTGTCCAATCACCACAAAGGTTACAGTTTCCAGTTTCTTCATTAAATTCATACCTGTAAGTAGAATGCGGTGTAAATTACACAGCATTTGAGCTATTCCCAGGGGGAGGAGGGACACCACCACTTCCTGAGGTTGTGGTGGTGACAGTGGGTGAGGGTTCAGTATTGGTAGATGTGTTGGCGGTTGTGATGGCACGTTCAGTAATCTTGGGCTCTGGCACTCTTGATATCATGTTGTTTGTATTGGCACTGTTCCCAGCATTAGGGTTATTTTCATCATTTGCAGTAACCTGAGAGGATAATACAGCTTGCCTTGAGGAGTTGTCTGTCGTGCCACTGGCTGTATTGGTAGCACTGGCTGCTGTGTGACGTTGGTGGTGGTGAAGATGGGTATTGGCAGGGCTGCTAGTAGCAAGGGGTGCTGGACTTAAAACCTGTTGCGTGGGAGTTGACCTGTTACTTGTGGCCATGATTCGCGGTGGAATACAACCTCGGAAATATGGATGACGAAGAGCTTCAATGGCTGAGATACGCACACCTGGCACAAATTTCAGCATTTTCTGAGGAAAACAAAATTACTGATACAATAATGCACATTATATATAGTATATACCCAGTACTGTAACTATACTGTACATCTACTTTTGAAATTTAAATTTTAGATCTTTTAATTAAAAAATACAGCAGCAAACTATAAGTGAGGGATGAAGTTCTCAGTAAAGAAGTACATAAAATTTCCTAAAGCAGAAAAACAATGTTAGTGTGTCTGTTCCTTCAAAAACCCCAAAAATAAAATAAGTAAAATTTACTATTTGTTCTTTATTTTGGTTATCTACTAAATACATACAGAACCAGTAACTGTATCACTTTAATGGTATCAAAAAGGACATAAGCCTAGAGTTTGGATTAGAGACAAAATTTATACATTACTGGTCCAGTACACATTTCTAATTAGAAGAATTGAATCATGACACAGACCCCTAACACATCTGGTGTCCAAATGTACAGGTAAAGTAACAGCAGTAGCAGGCACCATTTACTGAAGATTAAATATAGTGTCATTAATTGTACAAATGATCATCAATACAGAGTACTGTACAATATACACAAACTGCACAAAATTCATGTAGTACTGTACTGTATTTTTGAAGTACAGTATGAATACAGATCTTGAGGAATATTTATATAAAAAGCAACTACTTTACTTGTACCCTGTGAAGCTTTGGTAAAGTGAAGCTGCCACAGAACTATAAAACTTATGTTGTAAACACAGTAAAAAAAGTACCGCACGGATTATGTGCGAAACAATATGACACTACGGACGAGGGATAGTGGAATATGCATACCAACCCTCCCGGCACATCAGGTGATGTATGGATCATTACTGAAGTCAGCAGACACCCCTCCTCCCCCCCCCATGCACAATATTTTTTTTTACTGTGTGTACATCCAACATTCAGACATATAATACTGTTCAGTACCTGGAGCAGATCTGCTGCATCATCTGTGATTTCTGGCACAACATCTCGTATATGTTTGCCCTGGTGGTGACGGAAGTTACTGCGTGAGAGTGACACATCTCGTGGCCAATCACTTTCATGTGGGGTCCCAATAACACTGAAAATTTCAAAATATATTACTAATGGAACTTTTGTTACTCCCAAGTTTTGTATAAGGCACGAAGTATGTTAAGTGGAAACATGAGGAGACGGGGAACAGGGCAGGTGAGAGTTGAGTAAGACATGCATGGGCAGCCCGAACCATATCTTTGTGCGGCCTGTAGAGTGATTGATAAATTCTATTTAAAGTGGCCCGCGGTGCAGGTAGATGCAGCCAGTTTGTGGTGAGTAAAAGCAATATTTATTCAAAGAATAATCTTCACACACAATTCATTACTGTTTCATCACCTAAGAGTAAGTAACTACAAAAATGTAACAGTGAAATAAGTATAAATAGTCAACAATATAATTTTTTTAACTTGAGTGAGTTTATGGGCCAAGTTTGGCACGACTTGTCTGATGGATCAGCTGCTATGTGGCAGTAGATAACTTGGGAATTAACTAAGGTTGGGTAAGTCCAAGTGGGGTCACAGGTGGTGGTCTCACAGGTCAAAGGCAAAGGTCTCTTCCCTGTTCACAGACTCTCTCTCTCGATAGTGCCTCATCCTTTTCAATATATATCAGTATCCTTCATGTGTGGCTGTCTGTTCTGTCTATTTACTCTTGTCTGATTAGGTCTCTCCTTGAGTGTGTGTATATATATATATATATATATATATATATATATATATATATATATATATATATATATATATATATATATATATTTCTATTGGGATATGAATATAATTTATATATATATATATATCTATATATATCTAAAGGTTGTTTCATTGTAATTCTTCAAATGCAAAGATTACCATTAACATTATTCTGGTGGGTGTATCTCATAAGTAAGACAAATGTTTTAACTGTAGGAAAAATCAATGTATTCACAGACTTCTTCACTCATCTTCTGTTAAATGCCAAGAAACATTAATACTGTATACTACAAAAAATAAAAATATGATGGATTTGTTTCATAAATGGGAAAAAGATTGTGAATGTAAACTGAAAATATTGTAAGGCGGACGTGACAATAAACTGTTTCATTGTCTGTGCTAATACAATATTAACATTACTTTTGAGTTAGGACAGCTAAAAATTTTGGTGGGTTGGCCCACAGAAAAATACCTAAATCGCAATGCGGCCCATGAATGAGGAAAGGTTGCCCATGTCTGGTGGAAGACATTAAGAGAGTGACAGGAAAGAGTTGAGAATGTAAGTACTGTAGATATAGTACCCACATAAACTTCCTTAATTTACAAGCAGTTTACATGTGAATCTTTAACCTATACAGTATACACTGATTTCCTTTGTATACTGTACAGTACTGTACATGCAAATTGGTATATGAAGTGTGAGTGTGTGTTGTAGAACCCAACGTTGTCAAAATTAGAATATTTTTAGGTTACAAAGTTTACACTAATATACTGATATATACAGATATACGGCACTGATGGCGGAAACTTTTAGGTAGTGTGTTTACACTACTCCAAGTCTTTTGAAGAACTTGTATGAGGTGTGAAGCAAATTAAAATGATCTCACTATAAAGAAAATTAAAACCAAGACAGTAGAGTTCAAGACATTGAAAAAACAATAGCTTATCTAGTAGCAAGACAGTGAGTGTACTGTACTGTCATTTGTTTAGTATTTTCATTCCTGGAAAACCTTTAATTACTTCAAATAAAAATCAATTAATATTTACAATTACAGTATCTCAGAAATAACAATAGTAAAGATTCGTTTTAGGACCAACACAGAAACTACTAACGATAGTAGTAGGTTTTCCTAGTGTACATTATTTTGTGTTGCTTCAAACGAATATGACCTTCATTTCCACTGCAAATGAGTCGTTATGGAGATATGACCCCTCCCACATTACCAACAGTCATGGTTGTTCAAAGTGGAAGATTTTTTCCGATTCATGTACAGCACTCAAAAATGGAAAAGATTTTTTTCTAATGTAGATTTTTATGCCGATTCCAAATACTGTAGTGTATGTGATTTTTTGGGGGGTGGGTGGGTGGGGGGGGGGATAAAAAAATATATACTGTACCATTTTTAGCCTAAATTGCTTGTGTCTTTGTTTTTCATTGCAGATGAATATCAAAAGGGGACCCATAAACTTGAAAGCAATTTCTAGCCCTTTTCAGGGTGTTTACTCGCCAGGCAAAAATACTGTATTATTACAGTTTTAGCCACAACTCAGTTAGAGCAATTTTGTGTTTACCATTAGTTATATCTTGTCAATAGGAACAACTTTTTCTTATACCACTTCCGTCGCAAATGGATATTAACCGAGATAGTAAATTCACAAGAAATTAATGTAAATCTGCATGTCGTCTGTATGTTTACAACTGACCTGGTGGGTGTACTGTACTGTACTGTACTGTACTGTACTCTCATGTCCACAAGAAACGTAAAATTACAGCATGATGCTTCAACAAAGTTGCTTTCATTGGTACCAGATATCAAAATAAATACTTTCTGCTTAATGTGGCGGGGACGGCTAGAAGTTAGGTAGGTTTCTTTGTTTGGTTAGGTCAGGTTCTATGGGGAGGTGATAAGTCCAAACTAACTCATTTCCGTCGGAAATGAAGGTAAAACTCGAATCAATCACACCAAATACCATTAAAAACAAATGTGTTCGAACAGTAGTTGTGGCTGAAACTGTAAATTTGCCGATTTCTTTGGTTGGTTAGTTCTACAAGTCTGCATTTTCTCATAAATGGTGTTTTTCCCAAGAAAATGGAGGTCAGATGTAAACAAAGAACCAAAATACACAAGAAACATATATTTCCCTGTAAAAAACGAAGGGGTGTTAAAATGAACCTTTACCGAATAAAGGGTAAAGTTTTAGTTTTGGTCATCCGGGGTAATCTTAAGAATTTAACTGTTGGAAACAGTAGTTTTGACAATTCTAAAACACTCTTCTATGACGTTTCCCTCGCAAATGACCTGACCAAGCCTCTTAACCGGGGCTCCCCTACCGCGGCACATGTACCTGTAGGTCGTTTGCGAGGGCAACGTCATAGAAGTGTTTTAGAAAGGTCTAAATTACTGATTAAGATTACCCCGTATGGCCAAAACTAAAATAATACTTAATATTTTTTGTTTGCTCTTTCTCCCCATATAAATAAAATTACTGTATGAAGTCCGTGTTGGTCCTAAAACGAATCTTAACCAGAACAATTACTGTATAAATAAAGACTAACATCACCAGCTCCCCATACCATAGTTGTGAGTCTCATGTTGAAGTCGTAAATCCTAGCCAAGCCGAAGTCAGCGATCTTGATGAGACCGTTGGTGTCGACTAGGATGTTCTGTGGCTTCAGGTCTCTGTGGATGATGCGATTACTGTGTAGGAAGTCCACCCCACACAGGATCTGGTGGATCAAGCTCTGTCCGGGTGTAAAAACAAGCATACAATTTAACCTCAGAGAGTTTACCTCAAAATATATATAAAATAGAACAGTAAAATTAATGATATTATCACCCCTACACGAATGCAAGGTATCTTCCCCATTCACTAACACGTGAAAGGCTTGCAGTGCCATTAATGTCATTTTTTGTAATTATTATAATTATGTTATGAAGGTAAATTTCCATTTCAACCAATATATGGCTCTCGAGTTGAGCAACGTGTTTTTCCGATGGTTTAGACAATTTTAAAGAGAGACGGGTCCAGGAATGTCAAAAGGGGGTTCCAAGAAGTTGTAGGTGAGGGAACATGGAGAGCATAGCGAGCCCACCCAGCTGGGGGTTGTTGGGGGGGGGGGGGTTGTAAGCCCCTTATTTTTATTTTTTTAATCTGACCAATATCTTGGGCATTTTGAGGCCATTTTTAAGCCATGTGCACTTAATATTAGTAGATATTCTGAGGTCAATAGTAATTACTTTTTACTTTACAAAAACGTCCGAGTACAATACTGGATTAACGAAAAAAGTATTGGAGTTTTCTGATGAAAAGGACGGGTCCGGTCCCCCAGGACCCATCCTGGATCAGCCCCTGTTACGACACTTCTTCTATGACGTTTTCCTCGAAAATGACCTAAAATCGCCTAACCTAGCCTCCAACCAGGGGTCTCCGCCCCTGGATTCCAGGTATATTTAAGCCATTTGAGAGGGAAACTTCATAAAAGAAAAGTTTCTTTAAAATTGTCTCCTCCTCTAAACCATCGGAAAAACACATTGTTCAACTCGAGCGCCATATTGGTTGAAAATGGAAATTTATCGTTATATATTATTCATGTTATTACTAATT